ACAAGGATGTTGTCGTACATCGCTGTAAGCAAGAAAGAGAAATTATGAAAAATGCACTTGCAATTGCTAGTCAATCTCCCGATCAGTTTGCCTATAATCTCATGAAAGGACCCGGATACATGGCTGTGACAGCAGGAGAGGTAGTACACATCGTTAAGTGTATACCCGTTGATGTGAAGGTATCGCAAGGAGACGAATGTTATGCTGAACTAAAAGTAATCCATAACAACCATACCAAATTTTTATCTCCAAAAACACATATTTTGAAGGCTTATGGGACAGTAGTTGATTGTAATGCTCTCCTACCCACATTTTTTTACTTTAATGATGACTGGTATAAGTTTTTACCAAGAGCAGTAGAAGCAAAAACTCCCACCACTCTTAAGCCTTTTTCTGGATTAACTTGGAAGTACCAGAATATTCCCTCACTAGCCACCAGCGGAATATATACAGAAAAGGATCTACAAGATTTAATGAACAGAATCCTGTTCCCCTTGGAGCAACCTGCAGTAATAAATGATGTAACCAGAGAAATTCGTGGACACACCATAAGAGACAGTAATGGAATAATTGGAAGGTTAATGAACGAGAATGTAATGGAGCAGTTAATAGTCAATACCTGGAGCAAAATGTGGATGAAATTTATGACCTTTGGTACTTTCAGTGCCGGTATACTTGCAATTATACTAATTGTCCAAACTACAAAAAAATTAATAGAAGTCCTCATCAATGGAATAACTCTACATAGCATTTATGGATGGTCTTTTCATCTGATTGGGGCCATATGGAACAGTTTAACTACGTTTCTGATACATTTAGCACCAAAACCCACAGAAGCGAAAAGGGATGTAGAATCACCAGCAAATATTGCCACCGCTCCTGGACAGGAGTTATATCCGACTCTACATACAACAGAAAATGAAATAACACAACACAACCAGAGTAATTCGATTCCAGCATCACAATCTCAAGCAGTTAAACCATCGTTTGGGTTCCTCCCATGTTAGGGTAAGATCTTCGAGATTAATAAAATAATAAAAATAATAATAAAACCTTGATTACAGCATGATACGACAAGATCTTTATAATTAGAATAAAAATTTCGATTGCTCTTCCTCGTTGCACTCCTCTAGCAATCGTTTAAGTGTGGGGGTGTGACGGCTAGCCATAACTTAGTTTTTTTTATATTTAATTATTAAATATGACGAACGGAGTGGGAACCTTCCTGATTTCCCACGATGAAAACGCATTCGAAATATAAACTTTGATAGTGGCCCGAGCCTGCGTACTCAAGCTTACAATCAACGCTCTATCCTGCTTTGTCCCACACGTATGTGTTGACAGGGGCCTACGATCATCGCGTATACATCGTGAAGTGTTATCACGCCGATAATGGAAGGGGACCATAAAAATGCAATCTATCTTTTTTTTTCCCACCGATTTTTAAGAAAATATCCGTAATATTAAATAGATTTTCATCAATTTTGTAAGCCATTATAATGCGCACCTTTTTGTCACCGAATAACCAATAAATAGAACAATAATGTATTTTATAATAAATCGTAAAAGGTTTGAATTTTTCTGAATGTTCATAATAGTCACTATGTATCGTCATAATTAATTAAGTTTAGTACAATTATGTATAAGTAATTATAAGCTATAGCGTTACTCTTGCTCTTAAAAGTGGCACTCCGAGAGCCATCTCTGGAGAAAAGGGCCCAAGTTAAAAAGGGACCGCCCTTTCTCTCTCTGAAAATTCACGCCCACAGACCAATAAAGAAATTCTGGATATGATTAGAAAATTTCCGACCAATACAAAATTTAGCCGTTATCGCTTCATGGGCCTGAGGAAAGGGATTTCCACCCAACCACCCACGGCTTATAAAAAGCTCTGTACAAGGCTGGAGAGGAAGTTAAGTGAAGTTAAGTTCAGGTCAGTCAGTTAAGTTAGAGGAAGTCAAGTTCAGATAGAGTAAGTGCGGAGTGAGCACCAGGAAGTCCGTAATAAGAAGTTTTTACTAGTGAGCGAGTCCCGGAGCAAGCATCAAATCACCCAACTATATTCAGAACATATAGAGAGAGAAAGAGGCCAAAGAGCAGAGAGAGAACGCAACATTAATAATAACTAAATTGATAAAATAAAAGTAAGTAAAATCTTAAACCTGGCTATCCTTTTCTTTCTTTAAGTAATCCGCCTTTCTTTTGGAAATTCATTAAGCGTGAGTCTGGTGAATTTCCATTAAAGTCCCTTAAGAACACATTAAGCGTGAGTCTGGTGTGTTCGTAATAACATTTGGTTATTACATTCCCCGTTAGCATACAGTTTTCTCAACGCAACAATATTGCTCGTCCCGGCTTGTGTGTTACACGATAGCCAAATCAGAGCAACCCTGAGTTTACGCTTGCTCCAAGCGTACCTGAGAGTGACCCCGACGTCACACAACACTTACACGCTTACATTAAAATCAATTATTCCCGAATAAGTAAGTGAATAGAGTACTAAATACCGACACATAAAATAATTTATCTTTACAAAAATTAATTATTCCAGTAAGTGATTGATTTTCAAAAATCATATTTTGTTACATTTATAATAAATTCTTATTATGATTTCAAGAACTATATACAATAAATTTAAATAAATACTCATACATATAAATTTTGAGTTTACAATTAATTAATCTAGAAAAATAATATAAGTTATTGATTATTTTGAATAATGTATACATAATTTAAGTACAATAAATATGTATGAATTTTCACCAATGGTCCTGTTGAATAATTTTCATTTTCACTACGTAATCGATTTTTTTATTTCGTTCAATTTTTTAACTAAAAAAATTCATTAAAAATGTATCTGCACCGTATCAATCAGTCAATAATGCGCGTACAGCTAAGCGTTAGTCTAATGTCATTATTTCTTTGTACCTTAATTAACATTACTTTTCTAATAAAGATACATACTTAAATTTTGAAATTTACTTCTGACTAAATGATCATACAAAGTCTAAAACATTTATTCTACTTTCACGACACTATATACGCAACAACTTTCGCATGCAATAGTGATTGCAATAAATTCAATTAGGCTAGATGCGCGCGTAGATTTATAGATATGCAAATGTAACGCTCGAAAACAAATCAATAAGTGAATATCAAACGATCTGAAGTTGTAAGCTTAATATAGTACGATATATCAGTATCTCTAGTCATCTACTCGCCAAAAATCAACGTCAGCTTTCGGAAATCGGAAATCGTCAAAATTGAAAGTCCATGATAAAATTCATTAAAAATTAAGTTGACCAAAGTTCAAAAGAATAATAAAAATAAAGCAAACAAGTGAAAATAAAAATGACCGACAAAAACCGAAACTACATGAAAGATCTCCGCTGCTTACTAGAAAAAATCATTTTGACGTAAGTGCATCGAGGACTTGTGCAGCGTTATATGCGCTCACTCCGAACGTTTTTTTTGCACAGAAAACCTGAGGCCGAGTTTTGTAACGTATCGTGTCCGCCGCTCGGTTGTCCTCGAGGTCCTTGTCCCGGAATGTGCAAGGACGAATGTGGCCACGTTGATCCTTGCTGCGTCTCCCGGATGCCTGCTCCGAGGTGTGCTTCCCCGCCAAAGTGTCTTAGAGGATGTAGTAAACATTGAAATAAAATTTTAAGTTTCAACGACACACGAGTTCGCTCAAGTTTGTTATTTCTAATAAAGTAGCTGAACAACGTTATCAAAAGATACACGTTGTATTGACTACATTTCCAGAAACCAGCTATTTTTTATTGATCAAATAAATTTAACGATCCGGTTGGAATTTCTTTTTCGAACAAATCTTATCTTATTATTGAAGCATCTATTCATGTTTATTGCCATGTAAAATTTCATTCGCTTTAAAATCACGAAAATTTATCTTTGAGTAGTGTATTTCCCAAAAACATTAAGTATATATTATTTTAGATTAATATTATTCAAAATTATTATGCTTTTCATTTCTCCTCAAATCTTTAGCTTTCTTCTGGGCAGCACTATATGCATATGCACAATGCTGTGCCGTTTGCAAGCTATCTTTATTTATGTTAGAAAGTTTATTGTGGTTAAATCATCACATCATCATTAATAATCTGTATTATTTTCGTTGAAAAACTTATCATACCGACAATGTCTCACAGATAATTCATAATAAGTCAAACATAGGCAATACTAATAATAACTAGTGTGTTAAATATGACGATTTTTCGGTGTTTTATCAGGAAAATATATCTTTCAGATAAATTTTCATGTTTTTGAAATGAATAAAATTTTACTTGGCAATATATGAATAGATCCTTAAATAATAATAAGATAACATTTGCTTGAAAATAAACTCCGATCGGATTTAAACCCTCATACTTCCAAGCGTATAGCAAAATAGAATGCGTAACTATACATACTTTAGCGGAGAACTTGTGAAAGTATTTTTTAATGTTGCTGGTCGCATATATTCATTGAACCTCGTTGCCCGTAGGGCTTTGGGTTTAGTAGTTAGGATTAATTATTTATCGAGTTTTAAAGTATGTGCTAAAATTTGTATTTTCAAACATAGATTTTTTAATCATACCAGTGTTTTAATAATATATGTTTTAATTGAGATGTATGCATGATAATTATGGGATATATTGTAGCTCTCGACAGTCTCGACATCGGATTGGACATCTCAGAGGCAAGTTACCATATCACGGTAATTTGGGTTTGCGGGTGACCGCCGCGAGAAGCGCCACCGCTACATTAAACTTTTATTCTTTAAAGTTATATCTATATGTATATCTTATATATTATGATTTGAGTTATGTATACCAGAATCTCTGTGTCTACTCAGTACTCGTTTTTGGTACTGTTGTATATAGGAACGTACACCAGACAGGCTCCTAAAATTTAGCTAAAAATCAAGGGAACAAAGGCAAACTTGTACATATATATATATATATATATATATATATATATATGTTTTGAGAAGTTGACAGTGCTCATGCACACTAGTGAATGACAATTATCGAAGTAATAATATAGTTACATTCACGAATTATATTACAATTCTATTGTCTACGTCGTGATATCACAAAAGAAATGAAATTCAGCAAAAATGTTGATAACCAATTAGACGAATAATGAAAGTAAACAAATATAGGACAAGATGGTCAATTGATAATCATTTGTAGTCTGACCAAGAGTAGTCTGCGCTTTTATTATCGAAGGTAATCTAATATTATATACTTCATAAAGAATAAAAATAAGGAAATCAAAAATGAACGAATAATAGAGATGGTTATGCCAATTGACATATGCAGTAACAGTTTACACGATTGTGTACTTTTTTTGCAGTGATTTGTAAGAATCATTTGAAAAGATTAGCTTATCAAAATGCTGAAAGAAAAGATACCATGGGTTAGGTGTTTAATGCTTGTGCCAAATGCTCTGGCAATTTTGGTCTTTAGTACAGTTGTCGGTTCTTCCAACACTGGAGAGGCTCCAGCTCTGAATCCAATTGTTAATATAGCTAATTATAGTTTTCCATACACATGCTCTATCAATTCTTCTACAGAATTTGTATTTCTCTTTGGAGAAGAAGATAAAAATTTTACAGGTGGAGCTAGAATATATGTACAAAGTGAAGATGCCGATAACGATTACCCACTAATTGTTGTTGTAAGACAAAAAAAGGGTATTCTTTCATGGCAAGTGCCTCTGTTAGTAGAAAATAAAAATTTAGCCAATCCTATACCTTATCGTGAAACAAGCAGAACATTGTGTCCTTCTAATTATTATAAAGATATCAGATTTCACAAAGCTGATCAGTATGTTACAGTTAGTATATCTACTGCTAGTATTAAAAATATTTCATTTTTCTTGAGGCTTAATCCAATGAAGCATGAAGAATTTTATTTGAAGTAAGTAATTTATTTTATTAATATTTCTCATTCAAAACCTGCTTAAAAGATTATAGCAATTGATGAAATTTCAGATCTGGAGAAAAAAGAAATTATACTATTACACCTTCGAAACCTGTCTATTTTGGCTATGATTTTGAAGGTTTAACTGATAGCTCATCTGTACTGATTAGTATTAAGTCTGAATCATTAGTTTGTATGACTTTTTCAATTCAAAACACATCGGTATGTATAGTGCACATATATATGAATAGAAAAATCAAATAATTCAGTTAATGTAATAATTTTTATTTTATAGTGTCCTGTGTTTGATTTGGAGAGAAATATTCAATATGCTGGATATTGGCAAACTGTTAGTAAACAAGGAGGAATAACAGTGCCAGTAAGATAATTTGATTTATTCTTAAATTAATTTCTTACTCTATGATATAACTATTAAAAATAGGTAATTTTATTTTTATTGCAGAAAATGAAATACCCTAATGGATTTTTCATAGTGTTAGTTGTAAACACAGATGACAGTGAATGTTCAACAGATGAAACTATTATTGATCGATCAAAATATGTTGAAGTTGAGATTCAAAATAGCATTACTACAAATGAATATGTTTTTGCATCACTCTCTGTATTAGGAATGTTTACAGCATTTTGTACAATATATATTATTGGTTCTATATGCTGTAAAGTTCATCATTCAAGAATATTACGAGAACAGTCCATTCAAGATGACTTGGATCAAGCACAGCAGGAAGCTCAATCACCAATTCCTCAGTCTTCTTTAGGTTTCCAAGAAGTACAGGAATATTATTTGTTAAATAAATTATAATTTAACTGTTATAAAAATTATCTTACGTTTCTTTTTTAGATTATGCCAGAAGATGATTCTTCTCTTGATGAGGATGATATCGATCTTATGGAGGATGCTCTACGTGATAAAGATGTTATTCGCACAAAATTGGTTCTTTCTGTTTGCGATCTAGCCAGAAAGGAGCCGAAAATTCTTAGAAAAAAATCACGCCTTTATGTTTACTATCTTATTACTATAGCTATATTTTATAGCGCTCCTGTGATACAATTAGTTGTGACTTACCAAAATGTTCTTCATGTCACTGGGAACCAAGACCTATGTTACTATAACTTTTTGTGCTCTCATCCATTACAATTTTTATCGGATTTCAATCACGTCTTCTCCAATTTAGGATACATTTTGTTAGGCTTGCTGTTTATTTTTATAGTTTACATGAGAGAGAGATATGATGACATATTGTATCACATAGATAGAGGTTTTGGTATCCCACAACATTATGGATTATTTTATGCAATGGGATTTGCCTTAATGATGGAAGGAGTACTATCAGGAAGTTACCATCTTTGTCCAAATCACAGTAATTTTCAGTTTGGTAAGAATATTTCAAAAAAAGAACATTGTTTTTTAAATCTTATCTTGCTAAAAATTTTAATTCATATTTCAGACACAAGTTTTATGTACATTATTGCAGTGCTATGTATGGTCAAGATTTATCAAAATCGTCATCCGGACGTCAACGCTCAGGCTCCCGTCACTTTTGGAGTTTTGGCAATTACTATACTCTTAGGACTAATCGGGGTTCTCGATGGTGAATTGTGGTTCTGGATATTATTCTCAATTATTCATCTTTCCATGTGCCTCTTTTTAAGCGCGCAAATTTATTACATGGGTCGTTGGAAATTTAACGGAGGCGTATTTCATCGAATGATGCTGGTAATTATCAATATAGAGCTTTACAGGTCAATTATAAGTGGTTTTTACAATTAATAATTTATTCCAGACGATGAAACATGATGCACGTTCAGGATTGATATATTTATTCCGTCCGCTATATTGGAGGCGTCTACTACTGCTTATTCTTTGTAATTTCTGCAATTTTGGACTTGCAGTTTATGGAAATATGCATCATAAACAAGATTTCGCGACCTATTTATTGCAAGTTCTTATGTCGAATCTAATTCTTTATACATTCTTCTACATAGTTATGAAGGTATACTATAAATCAACCTATGGTAATGATTTGAATTTAAATATTTAAATCATAATGTTTTTCCAATTTCAGCTGTGCAATCGAGAGAAAATAATGTTTCAACCGTTGATCTACCTGATTCTTTCATTTTTTACGTGGGGTGGCGCTCTTTTCTTTTTTACCAACAAAACCATTTCGTGGGCTCTGACTCCGGCGCAATCAAGAACACATAATCGTCCATGTATCGTCTGGAATTTCTTCGACTATCACGATATTTGGCATTTCCTCTCAGCTCTGGCAATGTTTTTCTCATTTATGGTGCTGCTTACACTCGATGACGATTTGGCTAATGCTCATCGTACTCTGATTCCCGTCTTCTAAGACGTTTACTATAAAGTCATTATTCTGATTGCTAATTTTTTTATAGAGTTGAAAGTTTTGTAAAGTTGTGAATAAAAAGACTGTGATCTCATGACATATTTTTAATTAAAGTTTTTAACTCAAGTTGAAGTTGAAGATTATTGAGAAAATTATATGAAGATTTATCTCATAGCGTTAGTTGTTCAAATCTTATTTTTTATAACGTAGTAGTTATCACCACAATAAGGATTTGATTTGAAATAATAAAAGTTTTTTGATATAATAGGTAATTTTGTATACAAATATGCTAAATCTGCAAAAACGTTAATTAATTTATTACATTTCATATATAATATAAATATATCATTTTTATACACTCTGAAATGTAATGCAATAAAAAATTATTGGATAATAATAAAGTGAATTTATTCGATTTATGTGCCTTTGGAGTGTTGAGTTATAGTAAATTTTTTATTTATGTTTGTATATATAAGCTTCTTTTGTGTGTGTGTGTAAAGAGGCTACAATCTTTGAAAAATCTTCGAGGAATTCTTTTAACAATAACGACGCAAAGTAATCTTTAAGCAAGGCAGAAATATTGACTTGTTTATTGATAGAATAATATAAATTAAAGTAAGAATAAAAATCAGATTTTGTTCATTAAATATTAAAAATATGTATAATAAATTATACCTTACAAGTATTTGCAGATTGCTTGAAATTTCTTTAGGACAAGTAATTTGCTACTATTGTCATTGTGTGATTAAATAAATAAACAAATGATTAGCTCGTTGGCCAATGGGCAATGAGCAATGGTCAATAACCATTGAACAGTATTGTGCTACAGTTGGCACTACTGCCTTGGTTACGATGACATCTATATGTATATAGATCTGACATGCATTTGCCACTCGCGCCCTTTTTCCCCCACTCGGCTCTGCACAATCCGTGCGTCGGTGCGTTGAGCATTCAGCGTTGTCTTGTCGCTATCGGGACTTGGAAGGTGCATCGACGTGCCTCGAGTCGACAACGGAATCGCACTTAATTTTTATTCCGATCTGGCTGCGTAACTTTAAGAATCGCGTCCATTTCAGATTTTTTAAGGTTTATTATTGCCGATGCGTAGATAGTGCGTGTACCTGTATCTTTTTTATCATCACTATGCCGAGGAAACGCAAGTTAAACGACATGAGCAATCGCTGCCGCATTTGCTTGGCCAGCGATGCCTGCACTAGTCAACTTTTCGTCGACTGGCTCCAGCCTAAAATCCAAAATCTTGAGAAATGTTCCTCCATTGAGGTGAGGTTTTTTATTTGAAATTTATTTTTAATTTTTCGACGATAACTTGGCGTAACGCGAATTGTTGTAATAGTCAATTGTTTGCAACTTTTTTTTATTTTTAGGTTATGTTTGATAAGGGACCAAATGGCATTTATTTTTACAGGAAATTCGTGTTTGTTTAACTTTATTGTTTTGATTTGATTAACTGTGCTTTGATTTTGTAATAATTGACAAACGTATTATAGAACACGTACTTCATTGTTTTGCAATTGCGCCATAAGTGGATATTGTTTATTTTTCTCTTAATGGTGCTAATTAAAAGTTTATTTTATCTTGGATAGTTTAAATAAATGAAGCACAAGTTATAATTTTTGCGCGCTTAAATATTCATATCAGTAATTGTTTCAATGCATCTTAATTAATTATTTTTTTAGTCATTTTTATTTCGAATTCTTTTATTGCATGGTGTAAATAATTTATTTTTATTACAGATACTGGATAAACCCAATTATCCAAAGAAGGTTTGCTACATATGTCTGTACAAATTGGATATGTGGAATGAATTTAAGTCACAATTTATGAAGACTAATCAAACTTTGATGAATCATTTTAAGTTTGTTGATACACAGGTGAATAAATAGATCTTTCAAATTAAAAGTGCATTTATCTGCTATTGAATATCATTAAATAAATTTTACCTTTATTTACTTTAGACAACCGAAGCTGACAAAATTATTGACGTAGAAAGTGCTATAGATGATATATTTTCAGGAATAGATGGGGTAATTGAGTTTATTATTCTTATTAATATTCTGTTTCTATTTATTCTTTATTGTAAGACAGTATAATGTTAATTTTTATTATAGAAACGTCCAAGGGTGGTTGTGGAAGAACTTAAAAGTGTAGGCTTTTCTATGGACAATGATGAACCAATGAAGTCACCTCTTTCCCCAACAAAAACATCTATTTTAAAAAATGTGGATTCAAATGTTGAAGCAGTGATTATTAATGAGACTGAGAAGAAAGTAATTACAGTTAATAAGAGTCACACTTCAGATTCCTCCAGTTCACCAGTGCGTAAAATATCTCGTGCTAAGAAAGTTGAACGAGAGGCATTAACTAAACGTTGGGAAGAACGTAAAAATGCTCTTTTAGCTGCAACAGGAGAAATTCCTTCAGAAAGTGACTCTGACAATGGTACACAACTATCTCCAGTACAAAAAGCTAGAGCTAAGTTCAACAGTAGTAGTGAGAAAGATGAACAAAAAAGTAAAAAGATTCAAAGGGCTTTAAAAAATTTGGAAACAAACATGACGGAAAAATACACGGTTAGCTTAGAAAATGCCATTGCTGAAGACGAGAGAAAAACTCGATCTAGACGAGGAAACGCTGAAAATCAGGTTAAAGAGGCGATACCGACAAAAACTTCCAAAACTTTAAAGATTGAATTACCCAAAACTGATATTCAAAAGGAAATGACAACACCAGAGAAAATATCGGTTGATTTCTTTGATTTTCAATACAACTTTTATTATTTCTAATTTAAACTGCATCATAAACATTGATTGGCTAACTACTTTTGTTACAGGAATCTAATGCTGATTTATCTTTGAAAGTAAAGAGTAAAGAGATAGCAAAAGAAGAAGAGCCAATAGAAAATATTGCCATCGTCACTAAAAAGCCTCCTGAAGCTTCTGTAGTAAACCAGCCAGAACAATTCAGAGAAGAGAATGAAATAGAAATTATCGACGTTGATGACACAAGCAGCGTAACTCCGGTCCTACCTTTAAGAGAGCCTGCTTTTACTCCTCAACTTGTTACGTCGGAAATTCAATTAGGAAATGCGACGTATGTTGTGAGGACAACGCTTGGTTTACCAAATACTCTGTCGTCAAAGAACGATATTTCTTTGAAGACAAATGGAATCAATATTGATGCTATTAATCAAGAAAGTGGCAAAATTGATCTTTTAAATTCTATCCGTTTGCAAGATATTGGAACAGAAAGCAACTCAGATAGTAAAGAAAATGGGTTAGTATCGTAAGTTGCTGAATTTTATTCATCTTATTTTTCTAGAAAATCTTGCTGTTCCTTTACTTATGAATTTTCCCACAGGAACATCGAAAAATGTCTTAATATTGAAATTGAAGGTGTGGAAGTGGAAGCTCTTCAACGAGTTCAATTAGAACTCGCCAAATTTATTAATGAGGATATTCAAAAGCGACTTCTTGAAGAATCTACAGCGCAGAACGAAACAGATCCTAATAGTCTCAATTTTAAAGATAGTTATGAGTCATTAGAATATCAACTGAAAAACATTGTTGAAAAAGTTCTACGTAAAAATTACGAGATGGAAAAAAAGGACACTATGGCACCACATAAAAGTAGTAAAACAATTTCACCAGAATTCGCCAAAGAAGCAGAGAAGTCGCCTGTTTTTCAACCGAAAGTTGCGATTACTAAATTCAATCTGGGCAAGTTATGTAAGATCTATCACATAAACAATCTTCACATTCTGGAGGAAGTCAAAAGACAAAGCGGAGTAGTGGGCCCACTTAGTAAAACCCTAGGAAAGCGAAATCAACGGACGCTCAAGTTACCAAAGAGGTACGACGACTTTGATATAACTCTGCCGGCAGGCTCCGAAGCTGTGAGAACAGCTACACCGACCCCTAAACCTCCTATGACCAAACGTGCGGACAGCCCAATTACAGTTGTGCCAGAAGTTGTTCAGAATGATATTATTGATGAGTCAATAATTGGAGATACTTCGGAGCCTGTAATTGAGCCAATACGAGAAGAGCCAGTGACTCAAATTGAGATAATAGAGAATAATGTACCCACATCATCCTCCATCGAAAATGAATCACTGGTTCAAGAAGTTAAAGTAGACGAAAAGAAAAAAGAAGCAGAAAAGAAGACAGTAGTCAAAAAGCCTATTGAAAAGAAACCTGTAAAAGAAACTATAATGCCTGCGAGTAAAGCAATAACATCACTACAGCCAGTATTGACCATGATAAAGAACGCTCAACCGCATGTCGAAACAATTCTTCTTGTTCCTACAAGCCCACCAGTGAATGCACAGGTTAAACCGATCGATCCAAAAATGAAGCCGTTACCATCTTTGGCAAGTAGATCGTCGCTTGGAAATGTCAATGTAAGTATATAAGTTAATAGTTATCTATATATTTATTATAGTAAGGAATTATGCATAAACGAAGAACAAATTTTTCTGTAGAATAAATCAAGTCTTAAACAAATGCTTCCTACACCATTGCCAGTAAAATCTACACCCAAGCCATTAACACCTAATAGCACTCCATCCAAGGCGATAGTGAAACGCCAGCGGCACATATGTGGAATTTGCGGCAAGGAATTGTTCTCGAAGGAGGAAGCTGAGGCACACGTTAAAAGCCACAAAACTGATTCTTTGGCATTGAGCTCGAAGCCATTAAAGCAAATTTTACCTAAGGCCAGTAGTGGACTAAAACCTACGATAGTAACAACGACAACAGTAACATCTCCAGCTGTAGAGTCTCAATCTCAGTCAAAGACTAAACCTAAGCCAAAATTGATGAGGTGTAAGAGGTGTCAAGCCATTGTCGAAGCAAAAGAGGTCAGATCGCACGTCTGCAATTCCGTCAAATTCAATTGCACTTTGTGCGAATGCAGCTTTGGCGCGGAACATCTATTGCTCGAGCACATTGAAACGCATGCTAGAAATAATAAGATTGTCAAGAAGACGGATGTTAAACCGACTCAGAAATCGTTACCAAATAGTAAAACTACTCAAGAGCGCGTAATTGTCATTGCAGAATCAAATGAATCTGCGGTAAAAATTTTTTCTTTTTTTTTACAATTTTATTTGACACATGACCATTATTTGAAAACTTATTAAAATAACAATTGAAAATGCTAATCATATATTTATTTTTCCAGTCAAATGAGCAAGAAGAAAACCTAGGAGAAAACCAACATAGCTATTCGTGCTTTGTATGTGATAAAATTTTCCTCGAAGAAGACCAGATGAAAGAACATTTACAAATGCATTGTGAAGAGGTAGCGAACGATAGCGACGCTGATGGTCACCAGTGTGCGTTCTGCGGTGAGAAATTCCAAAGCGAAGAAATTCTTGAAGCTCACGTTGGAAACCATCTCAAGGACGACGGCGACGAGAAAATAAATATGATAATAAATATGGAAACGCGACGGGTTCTTAAACCCAAGAAATCAACATCACCAGTGTTCAGATGCGAGCAATGCACGGAAACCTTTAGCTCGTCCCTCCAACTAGCTATGCATTTACCTGTACATGAAGATGAAAGCATGGTTATCGAGGAGGAGCCAGAAGAAGATGAGCATTATGTGTGCAATGTGTGCGACGAGATTTTCGATTCTCCTGATGAACTCGCTGAACATCTCAACACTGAGCACAATGGCAACACACATATGTGCATTCTTTGCGAGACTTCATTCTCTAGTGTAAGAGAGCTACAAGAACATGTCTCTACCCATCTGTAAATTTTTAAGCTACGAGAATTTCTCCTAAATTATAGTTTTTTGTACTTTCCGAAGACAAATGATAAGTTTGAAGCACTTCAACTTTGTAAAATACAGATGAAGCAGAACTTTTGAGTTGATTGTACTATGGATTTTTATTGAGTCAATATGGTACGTCAGGTGTTTTGATTAAAATTAAAAAAATACATGGACAATGTGTGTGGTTATCAAATGACATATTGTAAATGGTAGGACGTTTGGGAAAACAATTGTTTTTAGAAAGAAAGAGTGGAGTCGATAGATTTGAAAGCCAATTATTCATTAATTTTTTATCTGGTTGATCATTCAAGGATCGCCTTTTAAAATAATACTTCTTTACATAATTTAAAGTGGGAAATGAAATTTTATTTATTTACAGTTCTGAAGTAATTTTCTATATAATATCTCGTTGACTAAAATAGCTTAATAAAAATTTGGAAACTAGTATTCTCTAATTCATTTACGCTTCAAAAATTCCTATCTCTATGTATGTGTTTATAAACTTATAAACACTGGATATGTATTGATTTATCTTTATCCTTGATTAAGATGAACTTATTTAATGTAATTGGTTTTAGTAAATAATAATTTTACTGAATGACGAAGCGTAATTTAGAGTAATGCATGTAATTATTTGAAAGCCATAAAATCATTCTTTATGTAAATAGCATTGTCTTAAGAAGATATAAGACTTTTCATTTCTTGTACTATGCTGTATAGATATTCAATTATATTTCTAACATCAACGATTACGGAAAGTATCTCTTGTGTAACCTTTACAAAATAAAAGCCATTATTGTATAAGATATTAAAATAGAATATGCATAAACATCATTTAGTAAATACACTATTGAAAAGTACCACGATGTCAATATATTTTTCTTTTGGTGTATCGAATAATAAAGATTCATTTTCTTTTTGTCAAGGGTGATTTATTATATATGCGTAATATCAACTAATAATAAATATACACAGAAACTAGATAAACTACGTAACAATTTTTTCAAATCTTTTATCAACGAAATCGTTGAAGAAAATCGGTTTACGCGAAGAATAAGAATTAGAAAAAATCAGTCCAAAGCTGGCGCATTATGTATAGAATCGATGTTTCTATTCGCTCTACGTTTCTTTATTTACATAAAATCCTGTGTACATTTGTTGTTGCGCAGCGATGTTTTTTCTTATAATTCTTTTCCTTTAGCACTTTCATTTTTTTTTCATCGCTATTTTTTCATCGAATTGGAAATAAGAAAACAATAACGTTCATTTTTTACCTAATTCGACGTATTTTAATAATCTTTTTTTATAAACGTTTATATCGAACATTTTTGTTTCGAATCAAGTTTCTTTTGAATTAATCTTGGTTTTATATATCTTTCATCGCTAATAGTACAATAATGAACAATTGGCTGTTTAATTCGTGACTTGATCATTTACGAGGGAGTACCTTTTATAGTCTTTGTCAACAACCCAAAGATATTCGTCAATTAAATGCAAATTTGCGAGGGCTCTAATACATACATTCACCTCGACTTTGTATTACGCAAAGAATGAATGAAAAAGAAAACTAATGAAAATAAGAGAATTTCGGTTTAACAATTAATAGGAAAAAGATAAACATTAGTTGATTGAAGTTAAGCTTCGTTAAATGACGATAAACAATAACGGATCTATTGCGCAGCTATGATCGGTATCAATAACAGTATTAATTTCATTCTGCAATCTTTCTCTTTTGGCTCACTTTGGCAAATTTGACTGCGCTGTCGCCGGAGTAGAAGCGACGATAGAAAAAGAAACTATTTACATTTGATAAAGCAGATTTTTACCTAACGTGTGGGTGGATTTCTCTCGTGAAAAGTACATGCTTGTAATTCGTATAAAATTTGAAAGGGAAACCTCAAATATATCAATGAGATATGCTATTTTTACGAATTGGTTCATATTACAAAAGTACTCCCTGAAGTGTTTTAATGAAATCATTTAAACTTGATGCCTTGTAGTTTTTTAATCTATAATGGATAACTCATTTTCTTCTGTTAATCTTAGGTCCCAGTTTAATGCAGTGAATCTTAATGGTTTGTTGAACATGGATTTGGTAAAATGTATTAACATACATTACGCTTTATCTTCATTTTTTTAATTTCGAGTGTTATACAGTTTTTGTTAATCGTAACTTCGCTTAGTAATTTGTTTAATATACTTCGTCAAACGACAGTAATAGATTTTTTATAGCCTTTAATGTATTAATATTTATATATTGCTATGTATTTAATACTATTATGTACAATGACACCACTCAGAATGTTATTCTTTTTACGTTTGAAATTTCGAAGTTGCGTTGCACTTGACGTTTTTGTTTCTTTCATGGAACCACAACAATTTATGAAATACACAAATCTCGCTCTCTTTCGATAGATATATTCTCGTACTATATATCTACTTCGATCATTCGGAAAAAAGAAGCATCCTTCTCTGAACGAATGACGATAATAATAATGAATCGCAAAACAATAAAAAGGAAGAAAAGAAGGGAATTCGTAAGAATAATAATATAAACGTTCTCTCGCCCTTTTTCGTTCTTGCCACGCTTTTTAACTGTACAAATTATCTTTCTCATGAGTTTTTTATTTTTTCACTGAGTCGTACTGTTCTGTATTTTTCAATTGTCCAGCTATCCGTTACGCACTAGCGACAAACTTGTCGCTGTGTGATTCTAGCCTAGCTAAGGAAAAAATCGCGCTTATTTTTATCTGCATAAAATTTTATTGTTTCTATTGTATTGTTTGTTTATTTATTATTGAACGATCTCGCGGCGCGAAACCTCGCTTTAAGTAGTCTCGATGTGACAACACGCTACACAATAATGAAGGGAAACTTTAGGAAAAATGTTTATTATTATTTGTTGGCTCTATCACTGATTTCGTATTTTTCTTTATCTGCTTAGGAAATGACTGTGTATACGCGTATGCTCATTTTGTTCATCGCACTGTTTCTTCAATCCCGAAAAAAATAATACACGAAGTAGCAGTCGTCCGACGCTCTCACTAACTTTCACTGCAAATTTGGCTTGAATATATTTGTCTGTTATTTATAAATGATTTCTTCTCAGCAGGTTATCGTTGTATCTGGCTTAAGGTGACACAAGGTCCACGTAGTTGGCTGGATATAGGCCGACTCGACCATCTTTCCTGCCCTTACACCAACCTTGCTCGTCTTCATCCTCGAGCTTTTCGAAGATATCACCTAAGGATACCATTTGTTTATTTGTTTAGCGTGACACAGTTATTAAATCAGTTGAAACGTAATCGATTTCTTTCATTCATTTAACACATTGAAACTCAAGGCTTAGCCTACGCTATAAGAAAATAACTAGGAGAATCGATTTTTTTATTCAAGGCGGCAAACTTTGAGAGAGTATAGCTTTGTCTAACCCAACACAAACCTTGTTTGAAGCTGAGTTCGTCAGCCTCGGCACCTTCGTAGTCATACAGTGCCCTAACAGGAACTCCAGGCTCGCCATTGTCAATCAGCGGTTCTGGCGCGTCCTCGTCCCATTCTTCTTCTTCAAACGGATTCGACTCTTGCTTTGCATTATTAGTGCCATTCCTAAAAATTTCAAGTTGCAATCAGGTGCTCCAATTAAATACCATAAGTATCGTCTGCCAACTGACGTTATTGTGGAGTTCCTATTCGACACGGAATTTCCATCGTGGCTATTCTTTTCCGCCGAGGATTTCGTCGAATTGTTCGTCTCTGCCTTTCTGTCGACGTTATTAGATTCCGTCGATATAACTCGAGCTGCTGGCTTTACTTTCGTCTTGTGATTCGTCGACGGGTAGTCCTGAATTTGCAAGTACAGATAATAAATAATCGAAATAATTGAAAGAACCTTGAAGAAACTGAAGAAAATTGGCCGAAGATATAGTACACGGAATAGATCATGCAAACCAGTTATACATCGAATGGTATACACTTGAAAGTAGAGTATGAGGAAACAGAGAACATATAACATATCTTGCACGTATGTATATACAATAAAAAAAAAAATAATAATAATAAAAAAAAGGATAGAAAGGAAAGTCGAGTACTCATGAGGAATAACAACAATTAAAAGTATCGAGGAATCTGCCGGAGATCGGCCGGTGTGCTCATCGTTCGATTGTTGGAGCTGCTGGGATATTTTTAGGCATGCCGCTACGTATATAATATGCATAATGAAGATCGAGCAGAAGAAAGCGCATTATTCGACGCGCGACGTAGACAGAAGAATGAAGTGATCGTCATCTCTCTGCCTCCTCGGCTCGAATATCACGAGAGTCACTTACCGTCGATTATCCTCGCTCATAAGATAAAAGGAAAAGAATTCAAGTGTAATGTTACCTCGGTGGAGATGTGTGCCGCGCGTTTGTTATAGAATCGGCGTACATACTCAAGCGGTAAGAATTGTGAGATTGAAAAAAGACAATGTGAAAGCAGGCAAAGGAATTAATGGCGGACAAAAATACGTGTTGAGGAGAGGAAGGAAACGAAAAAAAGTGAGACATTACATGCAGGTCCTCGCCGACGGGGCGTTGATTGATTAGCGTGATGGGTCCGGCAGGCAGCGCCTCCTTTGACTTGGAGCCCTTGGTGATGTCGCGGAATTCTTCGGTGTAGTCCTGCGTAAATAGCAATGGGCACACACAATTCACATGCACGCATTCCGTTGCGTATATTTCGCTCTCTCTCTCTCTCTCTCTCTCTCTCTCTCTCTCTCTCTCTCTCTCTCTCTCTCTACTAGTTTCTAATGACTCGTAATAACAGGGCAATAGCCGAGGTGAGCGGCGGTGTCTATGCCCTAATAAGCGCTTTTAACGCTCGTTTAGCTCTCGCTTCTCGTTTTTCCGCCATAATCTTTGGAAATGTTATTGCGCAATCTTGTACTTGAGCAGACGTATAGACTGCACGCGCACGTACAAACTTTATTGAGGACCGTTGATTAAATAGATCAAAGTGATTATTCAAATGAAAAAAGCTGATCGCGCAGCCAGCTGTTGTAAATTCTCTCCGACTCGATAGTTTTACGCGCAGAACACGACAAAGAATACTTGAAAGACCGAGCGCCGCTTCTTCCGGGAAATAGTCTTTCAAATAAAATTGCTATTTCTATCGCAAACTTCCGATTTTTATTTGTGCAATGATGTTGAACGGTCGAGAAAATATCGAGATAAGTGCGGACTTGCTGACAAGCTACAAGCAAACAGCGAGTGTCGCATAGACAAACGTTCACCTTGCGCTCGTCTCGTCATACGTGCGTTGATGTCGTTGCGAGATGGTGAGCGGAAGGAATAGAAAGACGAGTCGGGGCACGCGAGAGAGAAAGAGAAAGAGAACATGGAGAAAGATAGGTTAAAGACGTCTCAAAGCTTGGAAAAATAAAGATTGTTCGTTAGCTGCTTGGCGCGTGCTTAATGCTTCAGTAAAGAGCATGAGTATAATGATACGGTGAGCTTTTTTTCAAACTTTAAGACGACGACTGGCTACTTGACGATTAATACTTGAAAAACTAACACTAACTTTTTGAATCTAGATTAACGAGTTCTGGTATCACTATCAAAATATCAATCCAAAACAAAACAATAGAAAAATCATGAAATTGACGAAATTAAAAAAAAAGAAAAAAAAACTTTTTTATATCTATAAACTAACACCATGCTGAGTTCGACGGAAAAAAAATCGGGAATAACAAGAGACTGAAAATCGCTTGGAATTAGTGGATCGTGGTGTTGGTAGTTACCTCAAACTGCGGCCAGGCCATGGCCATGTTCACGCCGTGATTGTTCGACCACCATTTCAGGTCTTTTTCGTGATCTGCATTGTTCACTGTGTGATAGAATTCTTCGTAGATTTGTGGAAGCCTGCAAGTTAAGGAGCCCGTTTGAGAATGATTTTGCAAGCATAATCGCCTTTTGTGTTGTCAGGACAGTGAGCAGATAAGTTTGAGTTTGAAAAAGAGACGAAAGCGGACTTACACTGGATCTTGAGAGATGTTGAGGCATTTGTGAATACCGAAGAGTACCTCTTTGAAGAACTGCAGTCGTTGAGCCTCCATTTCCTGGCACTTCTCGAATACCTGAGTCATGTCCTCCATGTACTTGGGATTGTACTGATTGATTTCTTGCAGCGCGCTCTCGTACTTCTCCTTGGCTTTTTGCACCTCCTCCTTCGTCTTTTGCACGCGATCCTGCATTTTTTTCACCTACGCACCAAGATTAGAAAAGGATGACTCGTCCGATTCTGCCATCCTCCCGGGCAAGGCAATGTTTCACGCTACAGATATGAAATAACTTATTGCCGATTGCCGAAACTCTCGGTTTACGTATGCACAGCTAATGCAATAAAATTGAATCATTCGTGTGTGTTTGTGGATGTTTATTGCATTGGTTCGTCTCGGCATTCGATTGTTTCCAAAACAACATCTATACGAACAAAACAAATTCGTTATGGACATTAACACGTCTAGCAAACAGCAAGTCTAAGTCTAGAAGAAAACAAAGACGAATATTTTACGTACGCATATGCACAAGCTAACGACTGTTAATATCAACTAGCAGTCGGAATAAAAACTGTCGTTCGTCGACTAACTCTGGCAAGTGCGACGAAAGAAAGTTAAGCAAAAAAAGAAAAAGAAAACAAACACTCGTCTAAGAACTAACAGCTTACAAGGGATAATGGACACACAATGGGATAAGTAGTTACGGAGAAAACGCAATGGCAAAAGTCAATTTTCTCGGAATCTGACTACAATGCGTTAAAAAAGTGTGGAGAGAAACCCTTACCAGAAGAGCTTTCTGTGCGTGCGAGGCGAATTGGCAAGTGTGTGACGGACGGACGACAACAATGCAGTTTGTTTTTAACGAAAGAAGAAGGAGAAATACGAGAAAAAAAAGAAAGAGAAAAGGAGATTAATTATTTGAAAGAGAAAACATGCAAATTACATGCATTTTTGTTGCTGTTCGTTTATTAATGTTACATACAAGCTCAAGGTCGCCTATCTTAGAATTCCTAAAGGACTTTCGTAATGTCAGGCGCCATGCATCACATCCGCAACGTCTCATCTACAAAACGTTGGTACAAGTTTCGCTTTACACTTTGATTTTCGAGGCCGAATTGAACGCGATTCCGTTGGCCAAGCTCTTCTCTAGCGAGGAGCATTGGCCCAGGAACTTGATTGCTTTGGTGCGTTTAATTTTGTTAGTTAAAACTACAAGCGATCAATTGAATTGGGCTTGAAACTTGATTTTTTATCATTGAACGTGTCCGTTGACTTTTCTGTCTTGTAGTAGTGTGAAAGGGATCTAGAATGACGTCGGTCGTACGACTGAACGCGAAGCGCACTGCCGTATAATGAAATGAAGAAATGAAGACAAAGAAAGAAGTTGACCATGATGATTGTACAGATCATGAGCAGAGCTACCTTGGAATAAGGCACATGCACGTCGTATTCCCGGAAAAACAAAGAAAAGATTGTATATGTGTGGTAAAGCTAAAGTTATCGCATGCATGACAATATTATTGACATACAGTGCCGTCAGAGCCTCGAGGTGCCTGAAAATAACGTACCCCCAACAGTGATTAAACCGTTCTTTCGTAATTATTATGATGATCTGATAATGGTGAGGATGGCGATACGCGAGCAGCGGAAACGAAACCGTTTGGCGAACGAAACCCGAACCCAGAAGGCGGTCCGTTCGGCTATCGTTTATTCGAGACTAAGAGGATGTTGGTGAAGCTACGTTACAAGGGCATGCTCGACCATGTAAACGACATTGGCCTGCCGTTAAACAAATGGAAATGCTTTGTTGGTCGTCGCGTGAGCGGTTGTCCCCGTTACCGACCGTTACCGACTGTCATCGACCGTCATCGACCGTTAACGACCGTTAACGACCGTTAACGACCGTTAACGACCGTTAACGACCGTTAACGAGGTGAGGGGATCGCGAGCGGGGGATGATCGATCAAGGCAATTATGCGCTCGTACCTGATCGGGCGACAAGGAGCTGTCGGCAGAGGCGTTTCTCTCTTGGTTGGCAGCGGTGCGCTCGCTCTTACAGCTGTTGTGGTACTCTGCTTTGGCCTTCTCCACCTTTTGCAGGATCTTCGCCCAGGGCTTCTGTGCCTTCTTGAACGCGTCCTCCATCTCCTTCCTCTCTTTCAACGTCATCATCGACTGAAAACGATCGTGAAATTTCGGGCGAAATGATTGGACCAGCTATCGTTTTTCATCGGAAAAACGAGAAGAAGAGCCATAGCTCACCTTGTGATAAGTGTCCTTTTGCCAGGTCTTCACCTGCTGTATGATGTCGTTGCAGAGGTTCTCCTTGACCTTCAGGTGCAGGTCGTTCATCCTCTCGGCCTCGACAAGGACGCTCTTCCAGGCAGCCTCGCTGGTGCCGTACTCCGGGCCCTTCTCGATCTTCTCGTTCCAGTTCTTCGACCAGCCCTTGAGCGCCTTGGCGTAGTTCTTCTCGATCTCCGCGCGCTCCTGCACCAACGCGATCAGGCTGTCGCACAGCTTGTGACCGTCCTCGATGCGCTTCGTCGTGCGCTTGTAGTTGTTCGGCTCCCAGAACGAGTCCGAGGTGGCTATCAGCATGTTGTCGTCGCTGTGGTGCGACATGGCTTGCCTGGGCAGGCCCCTCTGCAGCGGCGCTCCGGCGACGGTTCTCTCTCCTCCTCGGGCCTGCGCGCCTCCACCTGCAACCTGCGTGCGCGACCACGTTGGCCGTTAGCTTCATCGAGACAGGCTCTCGCGTCGAGTCGACGCCGCGAGAAAGCAGTTTGCCGCAACCGTTTCTGGAGTCGCGAACGCTGCGCGAAGTCGCGTGCGTACGAGGGAATCCGTAACAAGCCGCGACAGACCAGCTGTGCATGCGCGTTCTCGGACTTGATCGGATTACGCGCCTGTAGCCGATCATCGATTGGCCCAATTTGCGAAGCCGTTGCAAATCAGCCTTCTTGCAGTTCTGGCTGCTTGCAGTCCTGGACCTCTCTTTCCCGAGGGAAATTCCTTGCCTTCGGACTCTTTTTTTCATTCGGCTTTGGGCGCGATATTCCGATCGATATCGGCAATGACCCAGATTCGTTGAGAACGAGAACAGGCAGAAGGACCGCGTCGATCCAGATAGCACGTAAAACCAATACGAGTTTTGTAACTGTACATCTCCGATACGGCAAAATATGTATCGAAGAAAGTCGTGGTGCGAGAGCGTTAGGCGCAATCACACGTGAAGTCGGCGCTCTCGGTCGAGCACCACTGCAAATAAACGAGCGCGAAAGCAAAGAGAAGCGGTGACGTCATCGATCCGCCGGAAGTCGAAAGCGCGGCTAATTGCGCATTCCTAAGGGCGCGCATGCAAACATGCGCGGCGAGTGGCGAGCGCACGGGCCATTGTACTCTTCAGCGCGGACTCGGAGAGAGAGAATGAGAGAGATCATTCCACGCATGTTTCCAGAAACAAATATAAGCGTGCTCCTCGCTGAAATTACACGTATAGCGCGCAGCAGATGCCGAACGTCGACCAAGACAATTCACTTTAAATCGACTTATCTTCGGATATTTTTCTGTTGGTAAAGAACAAAATGATATTTGCCATGGTCGCAGCAGATACTACAAGCATCAATTTTATTCGGTCTGATTCGAACTGTACACACAAGTGCCTCAATTGTTTTCTCATCTATTGGCCAGATTGTCGCGTGAACGACGCCGCCACATTTAGACCCTGGCGAAACTTGTGCAGCGAGCGCAGTGGCCGTCCCGTTTTTCTCGCGCGAGATTAAGAGCCGACGAAAGGAGGTCACTGGTAGGCTACACCGCAAGGCAGGCTTGCCGCGTGACAATGCTTGCTTGCTTGCTTGCTTGCTTGCTTGCTTCCTTCCTTCCTTCCTTCCTTCCTTCCTTCCTTCCTTCCTTCCTTCTGCTCTTCTCTGGCCTGCTGGCCTCTTGTTTTCGGCTGCCTACAGCGGTAGATCGATGCAGCGCGGGCGTGCTCCTGCCGCTGCTCGGCATTTGATTCAAATATAATAGAAAAAAAAATAACTGGATTTAGCGACGATCGTCGCGGCTGGCCTGCAAATGACGAGTCGTCCCGAGCGATTACTACAGCCTACTACGATGACCCATTGACAGCGAGAACGGCGAACGGGGGGCCTCGTGGTCGCCTCGTGGCCGCCTCGTGGCCGCCTCGTCGGATGGCCACGGGCTCTCGTCGCGGGCCTACTCGTAAGTTGGCTTGCGCAAGTCGAATCGGCCAGCTTGAAACTCGGCGGCGCACGGCAATGGGAAAGCGAGAGTGGCGCGTGCGTCTTGTCGTGCATTCGAACAAACGGCGCTCGCTCGAATCGACTCGATGGACGACGGGGATAGAAAGCCGAGTTTGTCATTCACGACAAGGACCAAACGCTAGCTGCGCGGTAACAACGATGTCATTGTGCGAGCGCTCGGCGGCTCTGCGGTGCGGCAGTGGTCGAGGGAGAGGGCGTCGAGCAAGGCGCCGCCGGCCAGCAGCCTCGTGACTGAGCCGCGTGGGAGGCGCTGCTGCGGGCCATCGATCATCAACCTGCTTCGCGGCCTGTCTTTGCTACGCCTGCCGACGTCCGATTCATCGTCGGAGAATCGGCTCGTGCCGCGACAAAGAACCAGCGCGCCAATAACCCACGTTGCAGCGGCACAAAATCGAGTTCGATCGACATTCCTCGCAAATCCATCGGTGATCTAAATTTAACGAGCGCCAAATAGGAAAAGAAGACAGAGGAAGACGAACATGATACGCGGCAAAAGGAAGAGCAGCGCCAGAAGGTGCACTGCGAAAATAGCCGCGGCGGCCTTTGGAGAAACGTAGGCAGGCAGGACGATGTTTTATTGAGCAAGCGGAGCGGCAGATTTTTTTTATTTCATACTTTATTTCATTGTACTAAGGTTTATTTTAATCGTATAGCACACACAGTATACTCAATGTAGTCTGATTAAGACAAATAATATCAAACTCATTTTCAAGTATTTGCAAAAATAGATCGTAATTTAAAAATAGCTTATTCGCGTCATCATTAACAACATATAAATTATTGACTCGAAACTAGGATACGTTAAATAATTTGCAATAGACGAGAAGGCTACTATTCTATTTAGAAACTATTCGTGTACAAGACAATCAATAGGTTTAACTCTCTCTGATATTGCAATATCCGTTTATCGGATAATCGAAAAGCGAAGACTCAAACGATCCAATAAAGTTTTAATTCGTATCGAGTGAGTTAGCGTATCCCAAAACTTGATAGCCTGTATGCTAAATGATTTCTCGTAGTGGTGTCGTCAAAAGTCGTTTATCTTCGAGATATATGGTCCACTGAAACATGACAAATTTGTCTAGAATTTGCGCAAAATAAGCCAAGTTAATAATATCCGAAGGGGATTTTGGTAGCGACTTTTATGAGAGATGTAATCTGGATAGATACTCTAGTTAATCGAAGTGTTGAACATTTTCATCATCAAAATATATAAGATAGATCGTCTACAGACCTTCCCATGGCTCTAGGAAGCTGATCACGAATCGCTCGTAAGACTTCTGCATAGCTTGACGGTCTTATCTCAAAGATGGGAATATTTACGATAAGAGGTAACGTAAGGATAGAAACTAGCTTATCGCACGAGCATAATATGCGTAAAGTAGCTACAGAGGGAAAATGTATATAAACTCTTTGAAAGTAAAAATAGTTAACGGCGAACTATTGTAATTTTCAACAACTCCATCTTATCCAAGAATGCACCTTTTATCATTAAAGAATCTCTCCTTAGCCTTTCGAATTTCGGCTTTTAATTATTTACGCAGGTGTCTGCATTTCACTAGCAGATGAGGGTTGCTACTCCTCGTAGCTTTGGTATAAAGTAAATCACGTTACTTACAAAATTCTCTAATAAATGAGCTAAGAGGTAGGATTTCCGCGGATGTATCTCTCGCCAACCGGTAACATTTGATTAAAACTGCGAAGGGTACAGTTTTCGAAGGTTGATTTTAAAGTGTTGGGATCCTGGTTCGTCATATTGTTAAAACTAGCTGGATTTAACTAAGACTGATAAATTTGAGATGATTAAATTGACTGATAAATTTGAGATGATTAATAAATTTGAGATGATTAAATTGACGAAAATCACGAGACCTGACGAAAGACGGTGAAAATTGTACTGTTTCAATCTTATAATTGATCCTAATATGATCGTAATTTGATCATAATTACAAATAAAGGAATGTGTGTGTTATCAAAAGATACATTGTATAAGTCATATTTCTGGTTGAGAATAGATAGAAAAATAATTTGGCGCATAATCAGAACATAGCAAATCAGGATTGAAATCATCTAACAATATATGGTTACCGTACCATTACGTTACCATTAGGTTAACGTACCAGAGATTTGATGAAACATCTTGAAGAAATCATTAATATGTGCCCTTTAGGTCTATGATAAACGGTAACAGTGAGTATCCCTACGTTTTTCAAAAATGTAACAGATCATGAAAAATGAATCTTTTCATGAATCTTGTTAATTTAAAATTTGAGGATTAGTTTTGGGCAAATATTTTACATAATTAATAGTACTACTCCAGCTCCTTGTATAAATCGCCTAAGTTCAAATTGACATTTTAATATGCCATGAGAAAATAGGTTGCAACAATATGAACTATACATATTGTCAGGAGATAGCAATGTCTGGGTGACCAGTAACACATAAATGCTTTTAGATTGAATAAAATCTTTAATATCACACGAATGATCTCTTACAAAATTAGCACTCGCATGAGTGACCCGAATTATTCGACAAGCCAAGACAACTCTTTATATTCTGAAAATTTCGACGTCATACAATACGGTCCAATTCAGTCTGTATGACCATGAGGGTAGAGTCATCTATTTTCTTAACATGAACGCTACTTGATGCCCAAACGTCTTTGTAGACTTTATTATTCGCTCTTTCTCTAGTAGCTAACCAGTTAACGGTAATCCATTAGCAACAGTAGCAGCACTTCGTACATAGATACTACGTTGTCAGGCCTATTCTTATCTATTTCGCAATATTTCGTTATTCCATGAGATCATTTTGCTAGCAATATGTACTGACAAAATTCAAACGATTAAAATTTAACAATGAAACTAATATCATAGTTAGGTGAACCAGGGTTATCTGAAACTCCGATGATATTAGCATTAACCATTGAATTTGGAGAGCTGTTTAGTATTAATCTCACGAATTGACAATATATACGATAACGACAACGCAAAACACCGTTACCTTTCATTTCAGAAGTAGGGGCACAACGACATCTCAGTTCCTTCAGCTGACTAATTTCACGATTTCTAACATTTAGATTACTCTCAATTATGTTTTCAACTGCATTTAGCCTATTTTCATGAGCCGTACTTGTTGCAATTAATTGTTCTTGATTAAGTAGTAGTATCTACATTGTCATTTGTTTCACAGAAAACATGTAAAAGAGAAGTTCGTTTTGATCCAAGCTGGACATAAAAATCCAATTTGGAGGTTGCTGGAGCAAAACTTGTGCCATAATTTGAATAAGATTGGAGGCAAGTAATTGTTGTGAGCCAAAGATACCTAGTAGACCGGAGCTCGCGTTAGAGTTGGTATTGATTATTGTCAAATTTATGCTAAGCCGGTGGGTTGGGATTGAGAACGAAATGATCCATTTAG